TTACAAATCTTGTTTTTTCGAGTCATCAAAATTTACATAAAATCGATCATGTCCGCCATTTTTGTAAACAAAAGTGAAATTCTCCGTTTAAAAATCTTGTAAAATTCAATTATACTTTTTCAAAAGTTATTTTAGGAAAATTAGAAAATTTAAAGTTTACGTAATGTAACTGGAAACAAATATTACGACTAACGTCAAGGCAATTTATCGGACGGAAGGGCAGAAGTGACAGTATTTTCGAACTGATGCCTATGATCGGTGTCCAAACTCAGATAAAGCTACGATTTCATGGTTCTCTACTTCCTCTCAATTGTTGCTTTAAGTAATCTTTAATCCGTTATCATACCTTGATCTGACATCCATTCGCATAAACTCATTAGGTAGATTACTTGCTATTTTTCTTTGCTTCTCTTTCTTTCAGTATTTATTGTGGGTGTTAGATTCTCCAGGTCCACTTTCCTCATTATGTGTAATAGAAATTTCACCTGTCTCTTTCTGGTTATAAGTATGAGTTTCGTTGTAGTTCCTATTTTCCTTAAAACTTCCTCATGGTTCACATGTTTTGTCCCTAGTATTCGTAGCATTCGTTGGTAGAACAACCTTTATGTCGCTTCAATTCTTTAGGGTACTCAGTTTTAATATTTAAGGTGACGACAAATATTCTATTAAACTTCAGTCAAATAACAGAATTTGAAACAAAATTCTTAATTTCCAACACGTTTTAGTTTTTTCCTGCACCTAGCGATTTTGTAACAGTTACTCGAGTAAAAAGTCAGTCATTTTGACACGACTGAATTTTATTCTACTGACTTTTTCGGGTTACCAACTCGCTTTTTTTGTTTTTGGAATAACTACTAACTCCCAGGTTCAGGGGTTTTCAAAACTAAATAGAATTATTTAATTGGTTAAATACACTGTCTCTTTTACTGACGATCATGCATTTTGTCTTCTTAAAGTTAATAGTTAGTACTTTCTTCTTGCTTTCTTTTGCTAATTTACGACCATGTCTCAGAGTTATTTTTTTAGTTTTCCTTCTGAGTCTGAACGGACACGTAATATATTCTCTACGACGTCCCTTTAAAATCAACTCAGGCGTAATTAATTTTCTTTTTCTTCTCGAAACGAGGCGTGAGTGTTATGGCCATTAAAAAAAATCTCTGGCCCATTACTTATTGTTTGTGAGGTCTCCTGCTATTGGTGAATTGTTGCGTGGAGATATATGTATGTATTGATCACAAATCTATTCTTCATCTGTGAAGATATTGTTCAGCATTCATTATCATATAGAAGTTTAAAGAACAGTTCAGTACGCTTTTTGTTCGTTTCTAACGAAATTTTCTAGTCTTAAATAATACTTTGCTTAATTTCTGGAAGGCCTCTTTTGCTATTCTTATAAGCTTTCGGATTTCCATGTCACATTTTCCGTCATCTGTTATTACACTAACCAGATAGTTGAATTTCTGTACTTACTTGATTTTTTTGACGTATCCAATAGCTAACTCACATTATCTCTTTTGCTGACGTCCACACATTTTGTCTTCTTACTTAAAGTTAATTAGTTAAATAAATCCTTTCTCGCTTTCTTTTACTAATTTACTACCATATCTTAGAGTTATTTTTTTAGTTTTCCTTCTGAGTCTTATCAACACAGTATCATCTGTGTATCGTATGTTGTTGAGATTATGTCTTGTCAATAATAAATCCTTGTAGTGCTTGTAGTTCTCTTAGGATTGTCTCATCGTAGTAAATAGATCCGGTGATAAAATACATCTTTGTTTTATTATTTTTTCTACTGATTAACTGAAATTTGTATACCTAAAAAGAGCCTATTTATGAGTACATATATATTTTTTATTTTGTAGGTATTATAGATTTTGCAACTGTACGAATATTCTAATTTTAATCGTTCACGAACAATTAGAATTTAATGTTCAACTGTACACTTTGACTGCGGACAACGTAATAACAAAAGTACTCTTTTCTTTTGTCTAAAAATCATAGAGGATTTAAAAAAATGTTTTGCAATTGAAAAGAATTAAAAAGACCGTCTTCCTCAATCAAATGTTTACTTTGTAAGATATCATCCTTCAAAATTCCTTTTAGGTAACGAATATTGGCGCGGAAAGTGGAATTGGGTTCAAATTCCAGCCTAGTCTGTTGCATTCACTTTCGCGCAAATGTCCTTGGGAAAGGCATGAAGCCATCAATAAAATCGTTATTTATCTGAAGACATTCCTTTTCGAACGTAACGCGCCACTAAAGCTTTTCCACATTGTCATTCATTTACCTACTCTTACTTATTAATTCAAAATATTTTTTTAATACTACTGTACTTTCTCCAGTAGTCAGACGATGGTTGTAAGATCCTTTTTGAAAAGCAGCCTGTAGCAACTGGTTAAATAAACTATTTTTTTTATTTCTGTCGCAAAAAGACAAAAAAAAGTTTTTAAGAGTTTTCATTTTATGTGACATTCTCTCTAGATTAATAGATTTTTCCATACAGTGTACGCCCAGTTTTGATGTTAAGCAAAAAGATCCGTGCCTCATGTTGCAAGTGTATAGAACACAAAACCTTAACAATGCATTTGTACAATGAAACGTGTTTCCTGGTTGAAGACTCTTCCGTTTGTACTTCAGATGTTGTTCATGTTAAAAGAGAAGCTGAGATTACGTGTTATACAAACAACATACAGGAATTGTTTCTATTTAATCATCACCATCCCTCTCTATCTACTTTTCCAAACATGTCGCTCTTTTTAAGAGGCTAAAAACTCATTTTGCATCTCAGAAAATGTCATTGAACATTTTAAAAACATGTGATAGTGACAGTGACACCATATTGCAAATTATTGCTGTTATCGAAACATTACACAAAGAAAGATGATCCTTTATAATGCGCTAATAAAAATGTGAAACATCCATATAAAATAAAAAAAAATAATGTAACACTTTCCCAATACACACAGACTAGCACTACACTCTGATCCTTTATTTGACAGATATCCATGCTAGCTTTTATACACCTTGTGAGCATGTATTCATAATTTATATTGTAAGCTGGTTGAATTATTTTCCAGTGGTTTATGCTAAAAAAAAGAAGTTATTTTGTTTTAGCCTAGGCGAGGGGCATTGAGGAAAAAAAATGATGTCGCGTTCTTTTTTTTTAAGATGACTGCAGTTCATGTTGCTGCTAGTGCTGTTGTTAACAGTGTGCATTAACATCGTTACGATAAAATAAATGGTTGGGGGGAAGTCTGACAGTGATTTGGGCTTCTTTTGATGTAATATTCCAAATCAGGCACTCGTTTCGTATAGATAATCATAACGTAAAAAAATTGGCATATAACGACGATGAAGATAGAAGTTATGATGAGATTTTAGACTGTTTTTTTAAGTGTGTGTCAGGGTCAATTTTTAAGTTATTATTAAGTAGTAGTAGTTTTTTTTCTTTTTTGGCTTTTCCAATGTTATCATGCGCCACTCCCAGTCCTAAAGAAATCACGTGCTTTTCCCCCCACTGATATGCTCTTAAAAAACAAAAAACGAAAAACAAAAAAAAAACAAAAAAAAAAAAACGAAAAAAGCAGGATGTTTTCTGTCACCAGAGAGATCATGTGCAGAAATTAATAAAAAAAAAAAAAAAACTTTGTGAAGAGTAAGAAGACTGAAGAAGACTAGTTTTCTGTGTAAAAGAAAAAAAAAACTCCTTTCCTTCCTTATATACGCATATTTTTGTTTGTTTAAGTTCTTTTTAACCGCAATAAATAAAATTCCATGTACCGGAAAAAGTTCATTTTTGTGAAAAAAAAAAAAAAAAAAATTAGTAGTGTTTAGTTTACAAAAGTAAAAAAAAAATCACAAGGGAGAAGTGAAATTTGGAGTATGTTACTGACAATGAGAGTATGGAAAAGAAATCAATTTAATTTCAGATTTACTAGCATTAGGTTTAAGAAAAAATTAAAAAACAAAATTTACGGCCGAAAAAAATAATACTTGTAGATGTCACCACTACTCTGTTACTTATTGGGCCCGGGGCTATAGTGTGAAAATGCAAAAAAATGAAGAAAAAGTTTAAATTGGTTACTTTATTTATTTATTCATTATTTTTTTTTTGTTGATTTTTTTTTTTTTTGCTAATAAGTTAGACATTTAAGTCGTCAATATATGTGATTGAAGACAAAAATAATTTTTAAAAATTTAATTTATTCTTTTCGTTTCCCAATGTTTTGTTTTAGTTATTTCTTGATTTTTACGCTATCATAGACATTGTTGGTCTGTTCTACTCTCGAAAGTCGCTAGCATGAAGTAGTGAAAAAAGCATCTCTTTCTCTATCTCTATATACCGTGAAGAACTGAAGAAGGCTCTCTAGTACCGGCTACCCGAAATTAATTACCTTAAATCTACCGAATCAAAGCAAACAGCTGATTCTTAAATGGGTGCCATCATTAGCATGAATTTATTTTTTTTTCTTTTAAAAATGCATTATTAATCGATTTGTTGATTATTATTAGAATTCCAAACGAGTGATTGGGGGCGGGCTTTTTGACAAATATTTGCGTTTTTAATTGACAGATTAAATAGATGTGACATTTGTGTACTTGTAAAATCTTTAACGTTATCTTTTTCCGCACATTTAAAAAGTTTTCACTTAAGCACTCTTTCTCTTTCATTTTTCTCTTTTTCATTGTTTCTCTTTCTCTCTCTCTCTCTCTCTAGATTCTCTTCAACCTTCACGGTGACACCTCCTACTTTACTACTGGGATTTTTACCTCTTTTACTCCTCCCTGCCATTTCTATACTTTTCCTCCTACCATTTCCTAGTTTTATTAACACTGGCATTATCTGGGGCGGATTTTCTTGCTCTTTGTCGTCGTTTTTTTTTTTTTTTTTTTTCTGTGTGTTCATTCTAAATTGGACTATACGTCAAGATTTACTACCGTATTAGCTTGCAAACAAACTAGGGATCTTTTTTCTATATTGATAAACAAATAGTAAAACTATGGCGGTAAGTATATTTCATTTATAATTGTAAAACTAAAAAGCAAGGCCGGGAGGGTTGTTGTTTTCCCCCAGCTTTTAGGCTGATACTTGACTTGTCTTTTAGGTTCAATGAGAAATCTTGAAAATAGATAACTGTACTTAAAACTTCATTCTTAATTCGATTTTCAGAACAATTTTGTTTGGTAAGATGTTAAAAAGTATTATTATAATAGTTTTTTCTTTTTTTTTTATTGCAGCATAAAAATTATGAAAGTTAATTTTAAAATAAGCACCTGTATCTTTCCTTCGATCACTGCAAAGGCAAAATGATATTTTTTTATCTGAGTGAATATTTTTAATGTTACTTTCATCTCTCATAAAAGAGAAATAAATAAATTGTTGGCCCAAAAGTTCGTTCGCTTAAAATGTACTTAACCGAACGAACATTTTGGCCAACCTAATATACATATTTTTGTATTTGTGGATTTGTATGTAAAGTTTACATACATCAACCACAATAGTAAACATTCTCTGGTTGTGATTTTTCATGTAAAAAGACCAGCTTGATATTCCTTTCAAAAAGTTCCCGGTTGGTTAGAGACTGGTTCCGTTCGTTAAAACCTGAACAATTTCCTCTCTTGGGAAAGGACTTTTTGTTATAATTTTATTTTATTTATTTATTTATTTTTTTTTTTTTTGTCTAAAAAAAAAAAGTCATGAAACACGAGCTATTTTCCTTTCTCCCTGTATTGTAGGCTGTCGTCTTAAAATTAAGAGAGCCGAGTTCGAATTCCAGTTGAATCCATTACAAATACATTCATTTGGATGGCAACTGGTCTACCGCAGAAAGAAATGGCAACCTACTGCGGGAAAAAAATCTGTCTCGTCAGTCATGTATCCAAAGATACATGATCGCCTAAACCGTGTATCACGCATAGCACATAACTGACTGAAGCAAGGTGATGACTCAGTAAAATTAAAATTTTTAAAAAATAGCTCTTCTTGAGAATTTATCTGCCTTAAATTCCCTCATTTATGTGATATTTTTCAATAAATATTTACAAATCTGACGAAACAATGAAACTGGCAATCCAATAAGTATTTTAAAAAGAAATACTTAGACTTAAAAAAAAGGTGAAGGGAAATGAATAGAAAATCAGTTTTCTGGGTTTCCCTTTGTTCAAATAATTTCGTAGGAATTCAATTAAGCACACTTTAAAGATCTCTAATTAGCATCTTAACTAGTAGTTTAAAAATGAATAATAATGCATAGCATACAGTTGTACAGTTACAGTACACTAGTGACTGTGTACTAAACTTATACCAAAACGACCGTCGAACTAACAACTGGGAGAAATATTTTTAATAACACAGCGATCTTTTTAGTGCACTTGATACATCCTTTATTTTTCTTTATAACAAAAATGTACACTTATCATTTAAATCTTAATAGATTATTTTCATTTAGTGTCTACTCTCACCCACAGAATGACTGACACCCAAATAACACAGCTTGACTCTCTCTAAAAACACGTGCTTTTTCAAATGTCATCATCAAATTCTGCATACCAATATAATGTTAGACAAGCGCAAAAAAGCTATATCCACTTGCTACTTCACTGTTAGTGTTATTTCTTTTAGTAGTTATCTATTTGTTAAAAACATTGTTAGCGTTTTTAATACTTTAACTTTGTCTAATAGTGGATCATTTTTTTTTTTAAATTATTCATAACATGTCTTTAGCTTTTATCGTGTCAAAAGCAAAAAAAAAAAAAAACAGAAGAAAACAGTAATATGCCAAGGGAACGAGTTTTTTTAATGACATTTCCTTCGTGAAGGTTTCGTTATTATTCGACTCTCAGTGTGTGTGTGTGTGTGTGTGTTGTTGTTGTTGTTTTTAATTTATAAATTATAATTCAAGTATGATAAAAAAAACCTTAACCCTTTTCGGGGTATAAAACATAACAAATGAGTTGTTTTGTTGTTGTTGTTTTGGTTTTTTTTTTATCAAGTTCACCCCAATCAAGGCAGTAAAGCCACTAAAACACAAGGGAAAGGGGGCGGGTTTAGTGTGGAAGAATTAGAAAGCAGAAACATTACTAAGGAGCGAGAACAAATGAGCGATTGGCATTGCATTTAAAAAATTTTGAAGATTAAATAAAGCTGGCTGAAAAGTAGTTGTGTAGCTCATTTGGTAAAAAAAAAATTAAAAAAAGAATATTGAAGTCCACGTATCTTGTCACTTATCCCTAGGCAAATACTTTTCTTACCATGTCAATTAATCTCTACTAATCGTATACTTTATGTGATTTCTTTTTTTTTATTATTTACAAAAAAAAAACAAAAAAACGATAGTTATTGGATGTCATTGCGTCCAAAGTCACGAGAAAGAATCTCGATCGCTTGTAACTTTTTTCCAGACTCCATAGTTTGATAGACTAAGACTAGACTTTTTCTTTTTCACTATACCTCATAGAATTTTTTTAAATTTATATTTTTTAATTTTTGTCAGTAGAAAACAAAATGCATAAGAAGTGAATTATTAGATTTAGAGTAAAAAAATTTATCAAAAGAAAAAATTACAATACTTAATTTTTTTTCTTATTCTGTTTGAAAGCTTGTGAATTAGGGTGGTTGCTCAGTAAGTAAAATAATAATAGTAACTACTTTTTGCTCCACCGGGCAATATTGAAATTCTAATAAATACGAGGTTGATAGATCACGATTGCGGATTGAGGAAGGCTGAGGTGAAGAAGACTGGACTAGGTGAAACATTTAAGGATTAATTTTAGTCTGACTGAATAATTAATGAGAGTAAAAAAATAAACATTCCTTTCTGTCGCAATGTTTTAAAAATGTTATGTCAACAGAATTCAAAGTAAAAAGTTAGTAAAGTTTAAAAAACTTCTTTAAATCGATAAAAAAAACTAAACAAAAAATATCTCATTTATCTTTTATTTTTTTATAACCATTTTTGTTCACTGTACATCCCTTCAAAACCAGTTTTCTTATATTGTTTAAAGACATCTTATTCAAACTAACTCAAAGTTATGTAATAGTAATAATAAGATTACGCAACATTACATTCAATTCAAAAAATTCACGTTTCCTCTGTTACAATAAATAACAATAGTACTCTTTTCGTCAAGTACCACAATCAAAAGCTGTAACTCACAAGATAGCTTTTAAAAATTTAAATAATTTCTTTTTACAGTCTCTAAACTTTCTAAACCATTACCAAAATCATATTTTTTTTAATAAAACCTTGTTCAAAAATACTTCTTACAGTTTTGTAATATTATTTTGAACAAAAAGTATTTTTTTGAGACATCATTCAAAAACTGATCTTAAAATATATTATCTTTCCAACTTCAGGTATGAAGTTTTAAATATTTTTAAAATCTTTTAAAGACGTTACACATAGCAAAGTAGAAACCGGTTTTTCAATAATATTCCAGGTTTCTCCATTTCGTTGTTAGGCATGGCTGCAGTGAAGTTTGTAGTAGAGTCTAAAACTGATATGGGGACCAGCAGAATACCTTGAAGTTAGCCTGTGGTTCCTGGAACTAGTTTTGAGATCATCTGCATATGAGAGGAGTGATGCATCATCTTGCTGGAACAAAACATCACTTCTGAGAAATATGGCAAGCATAAACAAGTTCAAAATGTCTACAAAATTATTTGTTTGTCATTCCTGTCAAAACCCTTATGGTCTTTACAAATTCAAAGGAATATGCTCAATAACATTGCAGAGCCCAATCCAGAAAATCCTGCTTCATTTAATCTCTTCTACACATGAACTCAACCATTTGTCCAAAAGAACTGGAAATATAACTAGTCTGACCATATAAAACTCAGCACCAGTCTTTTATGATGCAATGGCAGTATTCTGTCTGTTGAGGAACAGTAACTAATGTCATGGTGTCAATAAAGCTACCTTTGTTGAGCGACTATTATTGAAAACACCATAGAATGCATTATATACACTATATTGCTGACTGATGGATTTGAGCAGCACTAGTATTGAATTGGAAACTGGTTTGATGCAGTTTTCTCTTTTCAGTGGTTATCATCCTTGTCAGTTACAGGCAATCATAGTTTTCAAATGCTGTTAATGTCTTCACAAATTCACATATTTCTTTGTATACTCTTGTTACTGCCAAGAACAAACTAGAACAGCTTCCATCTTAGAAATAAGGATCTATCTTCCTTTTGGGGGTGCTGAAAAGTATTTGGCCTGACCAAGAAGGGCTTCCAAAACAAATGTTTGATGTTTGGCTATATATATATATATATATATATATATATATGAGAGTGAGAGTACCATATAAAATGTATATTTTTGCCTTAATTACTTATTGGTTGTCTTTTTAATTAAATCTCCATTAAACATTAATCATTTGAAAATATACAGGTTTACAAAAGGAACAATAGGTTCATTAACATATGTTTTCTAGTTCAGATATCATTTAATTATTTAAAAATAAATTATACTTGATACTATAAATATTAGAAGGCAGAAATTGTGACTTTATTCTTGATAGAATGTTTCAAAGTAAATTATCAAAAATGAATAAATTTTAGCTTACTTTTTTAATTTAATCTTTATAATTTTATAAGGAAAAATACTTAATTACAGTAATCAAGTACTTTTCCTTTTAAACACAGTTGTATGTCTTCTTTTCTTTTTATGTGCTATGTCCTTTCAGGATGTAGGCGATCATGGCTCTCCACCTCCTTCTATACCTTGCAGCTCTTAACAAGTTCCTTCCCTTTGCCATCTCCCCCAGACCACATTCTGTCATCCCGCTAGGTCTGTCATGCATTGTTTTCCTTTATCTCTCTTTACCTCTATTTAACCCATGAGTATCAGATTCTCCAGGCCCTCCTTCCTCATTATGTGCCCCAGAAACTTCAGCTGCCTCTTTCTGATGTAAAGTATAAGCTTCTTCCTTGTTTGCATCCTCTCTAAGACTTCATTGTTGTTCACACGCTTGGTCCATGATATCCTTAACATCCTTCTGT